ACATCTGATAAATCATTTCTGTTACTGCCAATGAAAGAGTAACAGTCAACATGTTCGAGATGTAATTCAGAAGTGCTTTCGAAAAGAGCTTCCAAATGGATCGTGACGTCATCAGATTCAGCTGCTGATAAAGAGAAGTACGAGATAAATGAAGCGAGAGGCAATGAAAGCAAATAGTGCGGGCGATGTGTCACCGTGGCAGTGATGTATGGAGTACTCTGTCACTCACCCCACACAAGATACACAAATATAATTAGGTCAACACTTCATTTTCTTTGATGTACTCCAAGCAATTGCGCGGACGCATCAATTAGTTAGGTCGTGACAAGTCCCCGGGGTAGGAAATCAGACATCGCGTATTGACACAACCGTCCGGTCAATGTAGCAATGTTTGGAGACAAAGATAGGCGCGTCTGACACACTTGATGCTTGCTGCTATCAGATGCAATGTCGTTGGTCACTGACATCGATCTATTGAGCATTGATCGCACGTGCAACTTATTCTACATGTACTTGAACTCAGTGAGGACTGATTCGTTACAAACACACTCTAAACGGACATAATGTGTATGACGTCACGATTGATCACCCTTTGAAACTTTCATGAATACTGATATACCTATACTCTCTATGGCGATTGTACTCGCGTGTAACACTACGCCTGCATCTATTGCTCTCGCACGTCACTCTACATTAAAAAGTTTTCGTGAGCAGTTTTGTTTATTTATCATTTGATGACCTGCACAATTTAACCCTTGTCTATTCTTTCTATAGCGGCTTTCGAATTTATTGTTTTTGGTAGAGTTTATAAGGACATTTCATCAATATGGTGATACCATCCAGAGAAGGTCTTATTAACAACTAGTCTAGGAACATTCATTTAATGAAATTGTGCCTCGGAAACTGTTCAGATTTTCCTTATTTCTGGATTTGCAATGTTTCTTTGTTATATATTAGGAAATGAAAACAGGCGCACTGGCCGACAAGCATTGTAAAGTGAGACTGTGTCTATGACGGTAAATTAGGGTCTGGTCTATTTCTAAATACAGTGATCACGATTAGTGCTCCAATTACTCGTCTGCACGTGACCGCACTGACACGACAAGCAGCTTCTTTATATAAATAGGCTACTTCAAACGTCCTGGCTGACCTTGTACCTGTGTCTATCTAGCGTTACCCCAAGTAACCTCAAACACAGGATACAGTACCAAACTGTATTGGCTTGTTTCGCTGAACATTGTTTGAGGGATGACCTATTGTCACGCTAGCTTCCTCCCTAGACACTACCAACTGAACATAGAGCAAACTTAACTAGCTTCCTAGACTCAAAGAGAACAATGTAGGATTTTATTTATATATACTCTTAATAAAATTTAAGTACATGTACAGTGTCAATGGTATTTTTAATCAATCAAAATTTAAAACGAACAATACAACGCCAATTAAATGGCGCTAATGACACAGATGACACAAACACAGCGCCAATGTTACACATACATATTTGCCATTGTCGAACCGATGCAAGCGCCAACGTCACACAGATATAGCGCAAAAGACACATGGATACAGCACATATAACATACAGAAACAGCGCCAGTGTAGCACACATACAGCGCCAGTGACAGAGATTCGGCGCTTATGATATACATACAGCGCCAGTGACAGATATATTTAGTGACTGATTCAGCGCTAATGACACGAACACTGCGCCAATGTAACACAGACACAGTGAAAAACAGGTCTTTATTTCTATCGTTGCTTACGCTCAAACGTGATAAAACGCTAGTCCTATCCTTATCACAGTATACCAATTTGCTCCCTTTAAGCATTGAAGAGCAAGGTCAGTACTTTCGGTGATGTTTTTGTTTGTGTTTTCCCCTAACATGAGTCAATAAACTTTCATCTTATTCACATGATGCCGTTACTGGATGTTGACTAACATAACACAACACTTCAAATCGACCGGCCTTCACCGGACATCAATTTAGACCATGGATGTGGATACAATAACAAGTACTAGTTTCCGGACTCTTTCCTATCCGGTATGAACAACATAACAAACCTTATTCCCCGAAGCGAACACCCCCTCCCGCTGCTGACCCCGACCCCTAGTGACAGTGACAAACTTGCTTAGCCTGTGACATAACATGCACGTGCATGTGTGATATTATATGTGTCTGAATCTGAAGGTCATAAAATGTAATATGTTTGCTTACCAACCTTTCGATAATTGTAACCATAGGACCTTCAATCATCCCCTCCCCCTCCCCCTATGACCATTAGGGAGTACTAAGGTCAGGGGTCAATACCCTTCGTTATTCAACAATGTAAGAACCCTCACAATGTACATATTGATCACATGACATTAGCTGGGACATCTTCCTTTTTGATCACTATGCTCGTCTTGAACGTCTTGTTAGTATACAGGATTTGGGTCAAGCGGACTCGTACATTGACAAGATGGTACCTAGTCTCTCCGATTTGACCATCTTTAGTTTGTAATAGTAAATCATGGAGGGATCGATGGTCAAATCGTGTCCAACCTTTGGTCATCTTCCCACATCCGGTTGTTGTCTTTCGATCATAGGTCTGGCCTACGTCTTGGTCAGCTGATCAAAGACTGATGTGAATAATCCTCGGACTGTCTTCTCGGACATAAGTAATTACGCTTGTGTCCATCTGGCCACCTGGGTATAATTAGGAACGGCCTGGTCAGACTAATGACCAAGTGAAATGACCGTTTGACCGGCCCATTGGGAAATGTGTTCGGTATACACGGCTGAGTGTTGACCCCTGTCTCGGTCAAGTTGCTCCTAATATAATAACGAGTCTGTATCAAGCTATGATAGTTTATTTACGGAACATATATAATGTACAAATGTCAGCGATTTAGAAATGTCACGGGGCGAATATAGACAATAATTGATGGTGGATCGTCGGCGAGTACACCGACACTGTATGTTTTTTCTGGTGTCATTTCTGTGTATAGTTTGTCGTTTCGATTACAGGGACCTTACCACGAACAAGTTAGTTTAAGGTCAAAACAAAGCTAAATTGTACCGAATTTACAGGTCCCTGTGATTGTGACATTTAACAAAATATGGGTAGGGGTAAAAGATGGAATGATAAACACGGAAAATATTCCACTCGTTACTTTCATCGCTTTAGACACGTTTCGTACTAATGAAGTTGATATAAAAGACAAATTGAAATTTTCATTATAGATATTTATGATAGTTTCAATAATACATTGTATTATAAAATTGAAATTAATGTCGTGGATTAAAAGTAATTTTCAAGAATTGGTGATAAATAAAGATATTATCTTTAAAGAAACATACAAATATCGATAAATATACATAAAACGATACTCAATAACCATTATGGTTAAAAAGTATGGCAAATGAAGGAGAACCACCCCCAGAACTCTGTTTGTAACGCCACTTACAATATTCATAACAATTCTATAAATATATTTGTGTCAGATTATGTTGTCGGCACGGTATCCTGCTGACCGACAGTTGAAATGTTCCACGAGTTTACTGATAAGTCACTTTAGAGATATCGTATGTTTTCTATCAAATTGACGGCTGTATCATTTTCTATCGTTTATCATGGCTGTGAGACATTTGATATCGCGATTAAACTATTATATTTTTTTCAGGTTTTCTGTATTTCGTATTAAATCTTTGTGTTTGTTTAAAAATCGTTAGATCTTTTGTCTTTACACCTGAAATAAAAATATTTTTAAAAGTAAAAAAATTATGTATCATGTGCATTTGAAGCACCTACCTTTTTTAAAATCAGTGTTGTGATTTATTTAATTAATTTATGATATTATTTTCCTTTTCTTCTGGCATCTCTAATTTTCAATGTCTTATTCTTATGTAGAATAGTATCTCGTAGTCCAACAGCACTCTGTACCACGCCGCTTTAACAAGACAGACATTTCCATATGCTGAGTAAACAAAAAAAGAATAAATAAATAAAAATGGTATTCGGAATAATCTCGTCAAAACTGAATCGGCCGAGGTGTTCCGAAAGGAATGTATGATGGCTGCGGCCATTTTTATTTCTATTTCGTGCCTGCGGGGGAGTCCTTTATCCCTTACATCACATGCCCTCCCAGATCTCTGACAGATTTTGGGGATCTGTATTCCGTCCTTGATGTTATCGTGTCAGACGACGGATGCATAGTAGTAGTTACTTACTGGTAGAGGAACGATCTCTTACACCTTATCATGCAGTGTTATTCCAGACACGACACTTAGGATGGTAATACAAACAAACGAAGCCCGACACAGTACCAGTAACCCGTGTGAGCTATGTACAGTATATCGTAACAATACGTTCTGGCTTTTAGTGGGTAGCGATAAAATTGTACAAACGTTCTATTTTAGTAACGCGAAGGCAATGTCATAAATTACGTGTTACTGAACCCCCTCCCTCCATCCCCACCACCACCAGCAGCTTTGCAATGGTTATGTAATGTTTTCAAACCCAAAACGTTAAGGAGATACCAAGAACGAATAAGAGAGAAGTAAGTGAAACGACATACCATATAATAAGATGGGAAACATCTAAATATAGTTCCATTAATACAAGATACCCAATCAGTTAAAGGAACATAAGATACCGAGTCGTGGGTTCGAGGTTTATACGTGGGACAGTCGCCAGGTACTGTCCGGAGGTCGGAGTTTTTTTCTCCGGGTACTCCGGCTTTCCTCCACCACCATCAAAACCTGGCACGTCCTTAAATGACCATAGCTGTTCATAGGGCGTAAAACCCTAATCACCAAAACTAAAATGTTGAACCATCGCTCTACCCCTACCATCCACCCACCTTTCGAATTCTCTGGAACCATAGTGTGCTATATTGACACAAACGCTGTTTTATCGGGTAAAATCCTATAAGTTAAGAATCAAGAGGATTTGATATGTATGTAAGCTGTATAATAAAATTAACATGTTTAACGGGTTGACATTCGATCTTTTGACAGAGTTACCTCAAGCGCTATGGATATCTCAAGGGCGCGAATACGGAAATGACGCAAAACCTGATGTCACAGGAAGATCTCACAGATGCCATCAAGAGGCTACAACGGAAAGGCAACCTCAGTCCGACAGGAATCGTCGACCAACGGACGATCGCCCTAATGAGCAGGAAGCGTTGTGGTGTCCCGGATGAGGATGAGTCTACGGACGATTACGGACGGCGCCGGAAACGCTACGTGTTATCTCATTCCTCATGGAAAAAGAAAGATCTTACCTACAGGTAAGGGGTGCTCTCTTTACACAATGCATATGATAGTACAAGTAAATAGTGGGGATTTTTTATAATTACAGACAACCAACTCTTTGTTCAATATTCCAAGGATAACAACATGTCATACTTTCAATACACACAGTGGACTTTCTTGTAGATTTTTCCAAATCGAAGGAGCCTTTTAATTATTTAATATACAGGCTAATGTGAGTTTGGTTTGGTTAGGGTTGTTGGGTTTAGCGACCCATCGACAGCTAAGGTCATTTAAGGAGGCGCCTAATGTGTGTTATGCATGCGTTTGCGCTGGAACGAAATATTGGTGTTTTTGCCTCTTTGCAATAGCGCGGATCTGATCTCGACTATAGTATTAGAGTGCTACCTCACTGAATTATCATGCCAAAGGCAAACAGTACAGGACTCCACGCGGACCTTTTATACTGGCAACGGGTAAACGAGTTGTTACCATTACGTAAATACTGAACATTTGGCAGGGAATATAGTCTCGTAGAAGGTCAAAATAAGCATATAATTAGAACGTTGTTCGAGGTGCTTTCATGATAATGTCACACTCTGATCATATATTTATTGTTAAATAATTAGAACATGTTCAGTAACCTCTTCATCAGTCATCCTTAAGGACAAGAGAAGCTTCGAATTAGATCATGATGTTTCGAAGTTGCTTCTTTGACTAGCATCGAAGATAACTGCAAAAAGAATAACAATGTCGATGCTTTATTACTCTCAAACTAAATTCAGTGGAATATTATAAAATAGTCAAAAACATCACGGTGAAGAGCCCTGCAGTCAATGTTGGTATTACACATGTAGTACTGAAAAAATCGTATGCTATGTGTCTTCCAAATCACGCTATATGATATACACTGGTATGGAAGCAATGTGTTTTGTGAACGATCTGAAAGGTTTAAAGATGGGAACACTATGTTTGTTACACAACAAAGAGATGGGGAAGTGTACGTAGTGTAACCGTCCTCAGGCACACTGACGTGTACCCCCGAAGGTTATTTGACAGGTCGCCAGCACCGGGAACAGATCCAATTAGTGGTAGTGGATTTGTTGGGGTTCTGTGAGGTCTGCTTTGTTGGTGGTGATGTATGTGGAACACATTGACGCCGTTTACAAACAGATGTTTATCGGTATTTTGCGATGTACTTTGAAGAAAGAAAACTACTCTTTTGATATCCAAATGAAACAATTGATCGTTTCCCGCCTATCCAATACTTCCTTCTTAACGAACTGTACCGCGCTTGTTATAATGATTCTGGCCACGGCGTTTATCATTGGCGTGCGTACATTACCTCTTTCCCGACAACGCCCAGCGTTTGTAAAGGATGTAATAAAGTAATGCAAGTCAATCAGGGTACTGATGTTTTAGAACAAATCCACGGTAAGTTTTAAACGTTTGTTAAAGTATGTAACATGCTCTCATCATGATCATCCTCAATTTGTAGTTGCCAAAACATTAGATGATGTTTGGCTACATTTCAGCATTTGAAGACTAGACATAAATCAAGAGATATTTGAAAGGCGTTTCATAAACTAGGACATCTCATTTATGAATGGTCACCCTAAATGTAGAATTTTGGAACAGGTTTTCGAAACTTCCATCAACATTGGGATCACCGTTTGCCTGAAGCACTTAATGAACCCCCTCCAAACTGTGTCTGGTTTGATTTCCCGCCGTTATCTACCGAAAAAACCCTCAAGAATTATTTTCGATCTTTTATTTTTTGTGTAATGATAAGTGTTTGAGATAACGCCGCCCTAATTTTATTCGGGCTAAGCCAGTAAAATTCTGTATGATATGTAGGGACCAAATAGCATGTTTGAGGAAGTTGATTTTGGTAGGAAATATTAGGTAAAGTGTTTTATTTGAAGTGTTGTAAGTGCAATTAACGTATAATGCTTATTGTAACTGTAACAATCCTATAAGGTAGAGAAAAATAGTTAATTATAGAATACATAAAAATGAACCCTGCGATAAAGTTGTTGCATGCTAATTTAACATCCGGTCTCGAATTTGACCTTCACATAAGGACGGGACACGTGGCTATTCTTTACAATCGAAATGAAGTAATTTCAGTTTGTTTTCCTTACTCTGCAATAATTCTACCGTACGTAGCATCAGTGCGACCATGTTAATATCGACAAGACTTATCTCCTTTATAGCAGGAACATACACTATAGTTTTATATTAGATGCAAAGCTAGCGTGCCCCCTTATGCCTTGTTTAATGTTTCCCAACTGGTGCGCGCGTTAATGATGCCATACCAATTAGAACACGGCCCAAACCCTTGATGGACTCCCGTGACACAAGGGTCGTCTTCCTCCCCATCGTTCCTTGACACACATTCCGCCCATTAACGAGGTGGTTTGAAAGCGACCCCGGTAACGGAAGTAGTACCAGCTAAATCCTGCTCGGCCAACAGCTGGTCCAAATCTGGCTGTATCGGGGACACGGGCGGTGTTGGTATGAGAAAGTTTTGAAGTTTTGTTCGCATTGCAGTCCCGCAGTGCCGGCTGTGTTACGGTGCCACTGTGGGTGTTGGGTTTCATACTTTGATATATACATCTGGATACGTGCTGCAGTCGACTAGTCGCCATGTCTCCCTCCTTTAGTTCCTCTAGAGCAGTGTTACTGTGGGGTTGTGGTCACCGGAGGTACTGTATCGCAATTAGAATGTCAAAATTGTTCAAATCTGTGGACGACCGGACCTTGGACGAGAAGACAGATTGCCGGGATCGTCCGCCCTTGTTCTGTGTGGTTGTGGTGTAGTCTGTTGTCATCACAACCTGCATGAATGAGGGCGGACGACCGGAATATAGCGGCCATTACCACGTGCTCGGAAGTTACAACCTAATATCTCTTGTCACGGGGAGATTTAGTACATTGTCAAACTGTGACCATGTAGGTTTTTTTACAGCGAGTTGCATCACTGGGACGTTGTCACGCGTCCTTGGAGTTTTTGTTTTATGGAATATACGCACGTGCTTGAAGCCATGGTGGTTCCTCTTAATGGTTTTATTATGACCACGTGGTAATGTCTGTGATCTATGTCCAGACATCATACTCCACGATATTGTGGTCCACAACAATATTTATTGCAACGCACGGATCCACATGTGCGTCATATATAAATAATGTACGATTCTCGAGAGACGTATCGAATTATATCCTAGGTGTGATGCCATTTTGTTAATAGTACGATAAATACATGTTCTTTATGGAATGACAGTGTTATTGTAAACTGGTATACTGGTCTCTGGTTCAATGATGTACGGTGTGTGGTTGCAGAGCAGCAACGATTGGCAAACGATGTAGGAAAGATGTCTCGGTATTTTATTTTGGCAGAGTTTTTTCATGTGTTTTGTGTATACATGCCATATTACTATCCAAAATAAGTACGTGTACTGACGCTACCATGTGTTGAGTCGTTAGGTAGACAAACAGACGAAGCCACGTAATCTACGTATATTGTACAGCGTTGGTAGGTTTTTTTTTTAAATGGCGACATAACGTTTTCCAATATTGACGTTAGTTCTCCAAATGTATCATTGGGTAACTATCTCCCTTGTAACGTACGACATGTCGTGTGCTATTTAGAGAGGTTCACGGAGCCTTTGCCTTTTTATCAAAATGGTACGATTTTGCCTTGAAACAGATTTGCCAGATGTACAAAATGTCCCCGGGGATCATTAACGCAAATCGACGAATGAACGTATTTCTATAATATTACATAAGGATATGGAGTCGTAGGGGGTTTGTGACACAGTGAGAGAGAGAGAGAGAGAGCGAGGGGGGGGGGGGGGGGGGGGGGTTACCGGCCCCAAGGGTATATATTACATGTTGTGTATAGTGCTAAATTAGAAACACAAACTATAACACTAGGGATCCATAACAGACTCATACTGTGGGCAACAAAAACACAGCCAGAACTAACGAAAACATACTGAAATAGTATTAGCATTTTGGATTTTTTTACGCGATAGTTTTATGTAGCCCGAAGGCATGTTAAAGTACCGCTGGAGTGTCGGGAAGAGACAAGGGCCTTCTGGAAAACGCAAGCAAACCGCCTTTAACAGGAACCATGTGGTTCAAATTTTACAAGAGTGGGGTACCTTTACATCGGGAGTGGCAGTTATTAGATTTTAAGGCTATAACGCGGTGTTCAGCGTCACTGGTGTCGGGTCGGTGAGGTAATGACTTGTGCAGTTGAAGGGTTATTAGGGAAGGAGGGTACTGCCTCGTGGTAGTACATGCTTATAGGACGTACTCGGCTGCGGTGCATCGCTGTACGCTTGTTTGATATTAATGGACGCAAAATGCAAGATTGTTGATATATAAGGTCACATTTATAGTTAGGTAAAGGAAAACTTGATTGTAGGAATGCCACCTTCTGTAGAATTGACACAGATGTATTTGAAATCTAACAATTTGACAGTCGGGCTTTTTATATTGAAATACAGCCGCGAGTTTACCTAATTTTCCCCGCGAATCTGTTCTATATATAACACCAAACTGTTCAGCAGTTGCGATTCATCGAGAAGTTAGGTAAATAAACATCAGTGTATATTTACATTGTACACAATATTGGTATTGTGACGTAGATTCTTTCAACGCCTCCTAGCCTAATGGCATTAACCCTCCTTATACCTAGTCTGTGTAACACGAGATATGCGCGGCAGATCTAATCTCACATCTTAAAGCAATCATGATCTAAGGAAGTACTTATCGGCACGGTGAGGTCACGTGGTCCATATCATGTGACGCAGATTCAAATTACACATTATATAACGTAAAATAATTTAAAACCCTAACAAATCTCACGCTCCTCATCCATATCCATTTAGTTGCGTCAGTATTCTTCAGGTTAAGCCGTGTTTTGGAAACGTGTAGCTTATATACTTATGGTCCTTATTATTAAAAGGTGACGTGTTTGTTTTGGATAAAGCACTGAGTTGACTCAACGGAACTTGGATCCTCAATTGAG